CGGTACTCTCTGCCTTCAAGATGAAGCTGCGCATGAGGTTGGCATACTGTGTGGTGGTGGGATTGTCCATGGTACTCTTGATAAGAATGTCTTCCGTGTTCACCACGATGATTCCCTGCACTCCTTTCTGGCTCTGCAGCCGTTTCAGCGTCCCCTCCACCTCTGCCATCTCGCCCCAAACAGGTCGCTCCATGTTACCCTAATTTTTAAAAAAAACAGAAAATAATAAGTATTGACAAGGATGTGGAGAAATTGGAACCACTGCGCACTGTTGGTGGAAATGCAAAATGGTACTATGGAAAACAGTAATTCTTCAAAAGTTTAAAAATAACTGGGAGACAACCCACAGACTTGGCAAATATTTGCCAATTATGTATCTGACAAAGGCCTAACATCTAGAATCTATACGTAACTCAAACATGCCCCCCACCAAAAGAAAACCCTATTAAAAAGTGAGCAAAAGCCAGGCACAGTGGCTCATGCCTATAATCCCAGCACTTTGGGAGGTGGAGGTAAGAGGACTGCCTAAGCCCACAAGTTCGAGATCAACCTGGGAAAAAAAAAACTCAAACAACAGATGCTGAAGAGGATATGGGGAAGAGGGAACACTTCTACACTGTTGGTGGGAGCATAAACTAGTACAACCTCTGTGGAAAACAGTGTGGTGATTCCTAAAAGTTCTAAAAATTAACCTTCCATACGACCCAGCAATCCCCCTTCTGGGAATATACCCAGAGGAATTCAAACCATTCTACAAAAAACATACATTTTTATTGCAGCACCATCCACAATAGCAAAAACATGGAACCAACCATGCCACCCATCAAAAGTAGACTGGATAAAAGACATGTGGTACATATACACAATGGAATATCATGCAGTCTTAAAGGACAAAACTATGAACTTCACAGCAACCTGGATGGTTTTAGAATCTATAATACTCAGCGATCTATCACAGAAACAAAGAACTGAGTACCACATGTTCTCACTCATATAATTATCATAATACTATAGGAAAAGGATGGGCAGTAGTGGGACACTGCCAGGGAAGGGGTGGGGCACACTTCATCAATAAGGGTAACTGCTCTCAAACCAGATGAAGTAGGGACCAAAGTCAGGCCCAAACTTTACCTGTACAATGGCCATTTGTATACCTAATCCTGAATTGTACCTCATATCTTTAAAATAAAAATAAACAAATAATTTTTGGAATACCCTAAAAAAAATTTAAAAATAGAATAACTATATGATGCAGCATTGTACTTCTAAGTATACACCCAAAAGAAGTGAAAGTGGGGTATCAAGAGACATTGCATCTCCATGTTCATAACAGCATTATTCACAGAAGCTAAAATGTGGAAGCAATTCAAGTGTCAGATGAGAGGGGCAGAAGATGGGGTGAGAGAGTGTTCCAGGTGAACAGGAGAGAGATCATGGTACATCCAAGAATTGGACAGTCCAAGTAGCCAAAACATGCAGGGATACCATACAGTTTAACTCCATTATGTAATATATAGGAAAACTGATTGCCCAGAAAGGAGACTTACTCAAGTCACACAACTAGCAAGTTACAGCAGACTCGGGACTAAACCCTAATCCTCCTGCCTCTCCAATGACCAACTTTTTCCCTACATCCTTTTCCTTTTACCCATAAGACAACTAATACCTGGTGCAGTCCCAGAGCATGTCTGGGAATCCCAGCCCCATTCTCATCAGCTGCCCACAAGGATTCAGACCAATCAGGCAAAAGGCTCTGCTCCCAAGGATTGCTCCACAGCTTCCTCTGTTACTTCCTTGAATGTGAGTCAGGGAGGAATTTACTAGCTAGCAAGTTTCATGTGTTGAGTTAAGGATCCACCTTACCTGTACTTTCCTAGGGTGTGTGATGACAGGGAGATACCTCTCCCAACCACGTCAGGATACCTAGAATTCCACCATTAGCCCTTTTCTCCACTAGTCTAAGGCTTTGTCTTATGTTTAAATGCAAATACCCTTGTGTCACCTTAGTCTGAGTGTAGCCTCAAATCTGTAACCCAGAACTGGAAGGAAACCTAAAGATGAGCCAAACCAACCCCTTTTGTTACTAATGAGGAGTATGAGCCCATAGAGAAGGGACTAGCCTGTGATGATCCAGGGTCAAATCCAGGATGAAACTCTGGCCTCCTGATTCCCAGTCTGGGGCTTTTTCTACTGCTCCATACTGTTTCTCATTAGGTACTGTCTTAAGAATGCTTTCCTGAAACAGAAGAGAGGAAGAAAAGGGGGTATCATACAGAGGTGAGAAAAGGCATCAGGAAAAAAATACACGGAAAGAAACTTGGCTAGATTTTATAATTTTTCAACTTTGGTTTAACATATATGTAATGAGGCTCTACTCAGGCACTACTCAGAATGCTGAGGGCAAGAAAATGTAGTCCCTTCCTTTGGAGAATTTCCAGACTAATACCCCGAGCTGGCCTGCTTGCTTAGTTCTCACCTTCCCCACTCCCCACTCACCATCCCCTTTTCTATATCAATCAGCAGACTCATAATAATCCCATAACTGAATATACCCTGAAGAACACAAATCACTCTATAAAAAAGATACCTGCACACGTATGTTTATCGCAGCATTGTTCACAATAGCA